TGAGGCACTTTTGACGCGCCCCGTCCTTTAAGGGCCGATTAAGGGGTAAGGGGTAAGTTGCACACATCTGGAACCGGAGGCTGCGGCTAGATATTGACCCGGGGAATCGATTGCGACCCTTATTTTGGCGATCAGACGAACCCTTGAGGCACTTTTGACGCGCCCCTTCCTTTAAGGGCCGATTAAGGGGTAAGGGGTAAGTTGCACACATCTGGAACCCGAGGCTGCGGCTAGATATTGACCCGGGGAATCGATTGCAACCCTTATTTTGGCGATCAGACGAACCCTTGAGGCACTTTTGACGCGCCCCGTCCTTTAAGGGCCGATTAAGGGGTAAGGGGTAAGTTGCACACATCTGGAACCCGAGGCTGCGGCTAGATATTGACCCGGGGAATCGATTGCGACCCTTATTTTGGCGATCAGACGAACCCTTGAGGCACTTTTGACGCGCCCCGTCCTTTAAGGGCCGATTAAGGGGTAAGGGGTAAGTTGCACACATCTGGAACCCGAGGCTGCGGCTAGATATTGACCCGGGGAATCGATTGCGACCCTTATTTTGGCGATCAGACGAACCCTTGAGGCAATTTTGACGCGCCCCTTCCTTTAAGGGCCGATTAAGGGGTAAGGGGTAAGTTGCACACATCTGGAACCCAAGGCTGCGGCTAGATATTGACCCGAGGAATCGATTGCGACCCTTATTTTGGCGATCAGACGAACCCTTGAGGCACTTTTGACGCGCCCCGTCCTTTAAGGGCCGATTAAGGGGTAAGGGGTAAGAGCTAGGGCCAAATAAAGGTCATATTCTTGCTCCCCGTCCCCCAATTGACCTACTATGAGTTTTTTAGGCGATTCTGAATCCGACGCTGTATTCGTTGCTGTTGCTGACGCTAACTTCACGGACATGTAAAATGGCGCCTTGTCGGCTTCACTATCTTCCATAGGAGGTCCATTGGGATTGTCAGTCCAGTTTATTTATACGTCCGTGACTTCAACGCTGTAAAAAAAATATGTGCTGAATTAATTTTTAGTTTCACCAAAATATAAGCAATTTATCATTTCTTTTTCACTTTTGTAATTATTGTTGAGTGAAGAGACATGTTGCTAGTTCTGACAATATAAATTATTAATCAAAAAACGAAATGCGACGGTAAGTATCTGCTGCTAAATTATCACTTTAACCAAATACATGGAGAGTCTTGCTACCATTGCTTATAAAACGTGCTTATCAATACACAAATGTTTTATTTCAGACAAGAAGGATTTATTTGCCTGAAGTCTTGCGTCATGTACTACTGCTTTGATTCCAAAGACGCTCTCCGGGTCGGGGTAATTTAGTTCTTCATCGATCGATAAGAGATTTTGATTCCATTGATATCCAAATTGATAAGCTCGGCACCATGGAGTAAGGGCGTCCCCACAGGGGTGACGCAGGAAATATGAATGGCGTTTACACCGACAGTAGTTTCCCACAGCCGGCAATGGGAATCTCCTGTCGGTGTAAACGCCACTATAGTCCCATCCAACTCAAACACTGGGGAATATCCCCGCACTTTTGAAGACGGAAATCTATGGACCTGCTCGAAAAATAGTGGATAAAATACGGCGAGCTTTCAGTTTTATGGTTGGGTCTCCCTTCCGAGGCACATATTTACGGGGGATGTTGGGTTATATTCCCCCGGCGTCCTGATGATCGGCGCCCAGCTCAACGTCGAAGGCGCCCTGATACGCGGCACTGCTATCTGTGAAGGTGCCCAGGTTGCTGCCGCTCGAATTTTGGTCGCCTACTTAACAAAACCTCCGTTGGTGCCATCTCAGTTTCCTCGAGGTCAGGCAACCTTCACACGCCGTTGGCTACCTTGGCTGGCCGGCGACTCGTTCCCCTCGTGGCGACGCTCTTGACATCCAGTCAAAAGTTGGAGTGGCTGGCGCCCCCAGTGGGGGCCGGGGAAGGGGCAGTGGGCCTCCACGTTGCTCTCTTCCCGAGCCTATGGTGACTTGGCTCAACTCTCCTCAATAGAATCTGGATTCTGCACGCTGTATTAACATGGGCGTAGACACCACTACGGACAATACGGACAGTGGGTGTGACAATCAGTAGTGCCATTCATATAGAGGGTGTCATATATGAGCGGAGAGGCAGCAGTACAGCTGAGCGGAGAGACAACATTAAAACAACAGCACAGCTGGCGTTGCATGGAGCTGCAGGCAACCGGACAGCGGAGGCTTGCGAAAAATAAACAATTCGTAACTTCAACGTATAAACAATAGTATAAAAAGCAACATAAACACATATTCTCATGGTCGAACCCATGTACTAGCGGCTAACGGCGGGCACAGGCACGCAGTGCGGTAGCGGTACCGGATCACACGTCATGGGCGTTGTCTCAGCATAGGTTGTTATGAGCGGAGAGGCAACAGTACAGCTGAGCGGAGAGACAACATTAAAACAACAGTACAGCTGGCGTTGCATGGAGCTGCAGGCAACCGGACAGCGGAGGCTTGCGAAAAATAAACAATTCGTCACTTCAACGTATAAACAATAGTAAAAGCAACATAAACACATATTCTCATGGTCGAACCCATGCACTAGCGGCTCACGGCGGGCACAGGCACGCAGTGCGGTAGCGGTACCGGATCACACGTCATGGGCGTTGTCTCAGCATAGGTTGTTATGAGCGGAGAGGCAACAGTACAGCTGAGCGGAGAGACAACATTAAAACAACAGTACAGCTGGCGTTGCATGGAGCTGCAGGCAACCGGACAGCGGAGGCTTTCGAAAAATAAACAATTCGTCACTTCAACGTATAAACAATAGTAAAAGCAGCATAAACACATATTCTCATGGTCGAACCCATGCACTAGCGGCTCACGGCGGGCACAGGCACGCAGTGCGGTAGCGGTACCGGATCACACGTCATGGGCGTTGTCTCAGCATAGGTTGTTCGCAATCTAGTTGAAGCCTAAGAAGACGGCCAGTGGGGTCTCACTGCTGCTGAGGCGACCTCGGAGACGATGCGTCGCCCCTCCTGTCGGTGACCTGCGGTGAGCAGGACTCCAGATAGCTGTCTGGCACGTTGCCGACACTGCCAGACGCTGTCAGCAGGCCTCACTGCTGCAAGGGATGTGCAGATGGACGCCAGGTGACTTCGTCTGCAGGCGATTCCGGAGACCGCGGCCTCACCAGGCAGTACCACCTGCATCGCCATGTCGGTGTTTCTAGAAATGGAAAAATAACAGTATCGGTGAAGGACAAGCAATACAATGTATTCTGTTTTCCTCTCTTGCAGGTATACGTAATCTACAATTATGATTGTTCCTATTTCATTCAACTGAACCTGAAAATTCCATATTGGCACATTGTTTGACTAAATTTGTGTAGTTGGGAACAGGGGCGACGCCACGGTGCGACGACTGGAGGGGACATTGACCATTTTGGAGGGGACGAGGACCATTTCAAGTCGATTCTTTCCATGCAACGCCATAGGCGTAATGTTAAAATTCTAAAAGTGGAGGGGACGAGATCCCCTCCGTCCCCCCCCCCCCCCTGTGGCGACGCCCTTGGTTGGGAAGCAGATTGTTTGAAAAACATGTTTGGCTGAACAGTGCGGAAAATATTTCATTGATCACTATAGCTGCAACAAAAATACTGAGACAGAAAACATTTGCGCTTACCTGGCTCTTTAGTCAGTCCCGCACAATGGAAGTGGTACCATTTATCGCAGCCGTCGCATCCGACCATCGGTGCTGCACTGATGCTGCTGCATTCCCCACATTCCCAGTACCTTAGGAGCGTCTTGGCTGTGAAAAGATTACTTGAGTCATGGCGCATACATGAATAGTAAGATGTTTTATATGTTTAACATCGCATAGCAAAGACACAACAGCTGGGAGTCAAGTGTAAGCCAAAGTGTAACCCCTGCCATGTTTTGCAGACTGGATTTTAAGCAAGAAAAGCTTTGCTAAAAATGACGCTTGACGAAGCCTCATCCTACTGGGCTGTCTGACATGTCTCCCTGTAAAAAGCATGTGGCCCTTATATTGTATATATGATGAATATGTTAATAATGCAGAGAAAACACAGTATAAATTATACCCAACGTTTCATCTTAATCGACTTTGTCAAGGGTGTTTGAACAGCTTGAGATGAGTAGTGTAAGGGTACCTAGGTACATCTGAAAATAAACTGAATCTGCGTTCAATAAACATTGATTTTGATAATACATTTCACAAATCAACTGCTAATAACAATCATACTAAAATAGCACGACAGATAACCAACAATCGCATGAAGAACTTCTTGATTCGCCTTGACATTAACTCGGTTTACATAGCATTTTTGACGAGGCTCTAGCTCGTAATTTGGCGATAATTTCGATGCAGTGTTCTTCAAATATTTAGAGGGGATCATTTTGTAAATTGTTAAGCACCTTGGCATCTTTTGCAAACATCACGGACGGAGATAAGCTTGCAAAAACCCTATGTAAACGCGGTCTATTGTCGTCCGAACGAATGTTGTTACACATTTGTCTTTTCTGCTCAGCATTTGTGTTTGCCATTTACCGCACCAATGTTCGCCAGCGGTGGTGACTTTACCCAGCCCCCACCGGACACGATTTGGTAGCCGAGGTCTGTGACGTCAGCCGGGCGTGAAGTTTTCCCTTCACCATAGGCTTTACACACAAACTTGCCGAAGTTCATGCCAGGATAGCCCGGCCTGAAAGTGCAAAAATGAATAAATTTTGCCCTCATTAGATTCAGTGCTTCATTTTATAACTAAAAACGTCCGTTATTAGGCCTCAATGAAGGTACAAAGTACTCAAAATCGAAATTCAAGAAGATGCTGTCCGAGCACAACTGGTAACATCACGTGACTTCTTTTCAGCAGATTATTGATAATTTCAGGATATATTCACACGATTGCTGCCTAAAACATCATAAATACATTTGCAGCATTTATAACTTCCGTTTAAGTCATAACCTTGTAAAATGCAAAGTGTATCATGGTAGTCACGTGACCAAAGGTATAACAGGGGGTTGGGACAAACACTCAAAGGATTTCGAGTTTATTAATTAAATTATATAATTTTCATGGTGGAATTGAAAGATTGTATTTTTTCCTAATAGCATACAAATTTTTGTATGTAAAATATTTTCCTTACGGGTGAAATTCTCCATATAAGAAACATCAGTGACGTCACCAGGGCTTTACTCAAAACATCGGATCTACCTGTTTATTATAGGTATCTTGACTTTACCTTACCTGCTAACGAAACGTCACACACGACATGACGTCACCCGAAGACGTCATCAAAAAGTCCAGCTCTTAGGCGTGTCCTATTCAGCGTTCGATAAGATAATAGATGTGCAAAAATTTTATTTTTTTGCTGATAGCCAGTTTTTGATAAGGTATCTATACGATGTCTTTCACTAACGCGTCCACATTTCCCCGACATCAGTGGTGTTTTTTCGTATTTGCTTTGAAAGACAGCTACAAGCAAGAGTGCGCGTGTCGATATCGAACGACGGTACCATAGAGTTCAGTGACGGTACCGTTTCAGTTTCAATTTCAATTTGCTTTCGACTATCGGATAGCTCGTTTGATGTTATGCATATGTAATTGATCGTTGTTTCTAACACACAGACCTGTGGTAGGCAAATATAGAGCAAAAATTGCTTGTTGTCTAAAGACTAAGCTTTTGATTTGCAGTGAAGACAACTTGAAGTAAAGTCAGAAATACCGATTTTGTAAGCCTCTCACTCAATGCATATATTTAAGTGCTCTAAAAAGCACATATGAAGCCTCAATACACTAGCCAGCTGAAAATATCTATCTTTTTATTTACTTTTGACTTCATTCCTACTGCCCGACAAGCAGTGCTTGTTTCGTTCTATATTTATTTGTACACTTGAATCATTCTAAATCCAACATGCTTGAAATTCTGAATCCTATAGCTATTTTTTTGTTTTTGTTGCTGATTTCCAATTTAATGACATATTGGGCTAAAGTAGTTTGAAGCTAGTATTTTACTGTCTTGGAAGATTCTGAGTGAAAATCACTGTTTTGTCATCAGAATTGAGGAATTACCTAAATCATAGATAACATGAATCATGATAACATGATTCATGTTATCTATGCCTAAATATTAATATTCAATTATTTGAATATTTATTTGGTACCTATCAAACAGACATGTCATGAACAGAGAAGCATAAAAATAAAAAATAGATCGCACAGCAACATGATAATGATAAGTAACTAAGTGTATAGGATCACAGGATGGTACATTGATTTAAATAATATCTATCATTGCTACATACTCATCTGTTCTGCTCACCTGTTATGGGATTTGCTTTTGTGAGAGAAGCTAACTTGATAAAGATGAGAGGAATAGAGAATAGAGAGAACAAGAAAGAAAGAACAGGGATCCTGCAGAGGAAGAGCTCGCTTGCTGGATGAGATGCCAGCTGTTATAGTCCAGCTCAGATTGAGATTGCTAATCCAAACCATGGCAACTGAGGTGATGAATTCCACCAGCTGGAGTTTTGCAATCTGTACCAGCCCACACTGACACCAGGCCAAGCCTGCACTTAACAAGACTTAAAATTGTCACTAAATATTTAAGAAATCAAATAAAATTTGCACTTCATTTGACTTATCAAAAAAAGAACATAATATTTCCCAGATGACCATCTTTTTTTGCAAAAATGGACCAGCAAAGCAGCTCAGTATGGTACTATGCTGGGTCTGTGCCAGGTGCCACTCCAACTCTAAATCCTCATCATACTTAAGTTGTTCCTCACTGAATCATGCACTGCCTCTCACTGAAGAGATCTTGTGGAAATTGTCATACCGTGTAAGCTGGAGCCAGACTGGGAAAGTGAGCCCACTGGCATCACACTGACATGTCACGAAAAGTATAAAAAGATAGATGACACAGCAACATGATCAGAATCAGTAGCACAGTTAGCACTTAGCTATCAGTTTGCACAGGATGGTACAATCTATGTACTCAAGATTGGTGTGGTAAACAGTCCTTTGCCCACCCCAATGTTCCAATACATGTTGCAATGTTGCAAAAGGTAACACAGAAACATGCTCACAATTATAGCACAGGATGGTAAAACCTACGTGCTGCAAACAGTGCATCACCCAATTGTTCAGTATTGTTAGACATATTATAAAAATCTGATGGCCAATAGTTGCAAACCAAAATGATAATTAAAATCTAAATCTTTTTCCTAGATGGAGAAAGATTCGAAAGATTCCACCTGGAGAGATATTATAAGCATCACCCAATGTCTCACACAATGTAGATTTGAACTCGGCTAGATCTAGCTAGGAGGCTTCATTGTCAGGTAAAGAGTTCCATGGCAAATTGCAATGAGCCGTTTTGCATGTGTTTAATCCAATCACCTACTGTTTGTTGCAGGTCACCATGGCGGGAGGGCGGAGGAACCTCCCGCGCTCGACGCCAATGAAGCCGGTACCTCCGGCCGACATGCGGACAAAGTGAGTCACTCTTTCAGATGCTGAAGAAAATGAATGCAATAGCGGATTTGGTGAACATCGACTCACATCACTATGAGGCGCAGGTCGCAGAGTTTGGATTAATTACTAACAGCAAGCATACAACGACTCGCCGTTTGGTGGTATCTGGAGCACAAACGTGGATTTACCGTCTTCCGTTGCATTCTGTAACCAAGCTGTCATTTCTGGCGCTTAAAAACCTTCTGATGAACCCCTACATCTGGACATATTTCTCGTACTGTTGGTTGTACTACGTCTTTGAGACTATTTTCACGTGCGGTGCCGACAGGCCGGGCAGCGAGGACCGGTCGTGGCAGGTGCCCTGTCTACAGCACGTGCTCATCCGGACATCCCGCGCGACGGCGAGCTCTTCTTCGAGACGCTGATGGTGGTGTTTGTGTGCACGGGCCTGGGCCTGCAGTACCTGAACATGTACCGTACCATCTGGTGGCTGCCCCACTCGTACACGCTCTACGCCATGGTGAGTTCAGGGCGCGTAGGGCGGGCGCCATCGGGAATGCTGCTGATTAGACCTTCACGTATGTTTTCAGGGAGCGGTATGCTGCGCAGGACGCATGATTATTGGTGACAATTATGATTACGAGCGAGCGAGCGCAGCGAGCGAAGCGAAGTCTTTTTACGAGCGAGCGAGCGCAGCGAGCGAAGCGAGTCTTTTCAATGGGTGGAGACTTCCATTTCGCGTCTAGCTAGACGCGTCCAAGTCTTAGACGCGTCTAGTTGACGGCGGCTGCGTCTAGCTGGCGACTGCTAACTTTAGACGCGTCTAGCTTAGAAGTCTCCGTCCACGCCAAGTTAGACGCCAACTTGGACGTCTGCTCAGTTAGACGCCAGTTGGACGCCAGTGGAAGTCTCCACCCAATATAACAGAAAAATCTCAGTATGAGCGGCCCGGCCCGGCCCGGCCCGGCCCGGCCTGTAACGCTTTTGAGAGGCTTATATCTCAGCAACCGCTGGACCGATTGGCCTGCGGTCTTTTTTGCTGGGTAGCCCCATCCCTTCTACCCCGTAATTGACTACTTTTGATACATCTCAGTGACCGTCGTGGCACGTGCCACGTGAAAAGTCAAGGGTGTTCAAGCAGTTTTGCAAAAGTATGATTTTGAGGGCCCATATCTCAGCAGCGGCTTGAGCGATTGTCTTGCGTAATTTTTATAGGGTAGCTGCATCCCTTCTACCAAAGGTCGGATACTCTTGATCTATGTGAGCGACCCCCACTGCACGTGCAAAATAAAAAAGAAGAGGTGCCAAATTTGTTCCCATTTCAGTAACTCGGTAATTACTGGGGCGATTTCGCTGAAATTGGCATACAGGTAGGCACCCACCAGGCAATGCATTCCCATGTGTTGGGTTAAGGTGCTACTGCACGTGCGCACGTGCAGGGGCGCTTCCAGATCTCGAGAACGGCTGGGCCGATCGCGCTCAAATTTGGTACACGGTTGGGGACCAGTTAGTAGGGTGCCGTGCAACAGTCATTTTGGACCCCGTTTGCACGTGCGCACGTGCAGAATGCCGCTTCCAGATCTCAGGAACGGCTGGGCCGATTGCGTTCAAATTTGGTACACCGCTAGCGACCGGTTAGAAGGGTGCTTTGCGCAAGCCCGTTGGAAGTACCCTCTCGCCCTTCCGCACGTGCAGCCTGCAGGGCTCACTATCTCGCTCGCTCGTTCTTCGCCCAAAAGGCGTTTTACTGGTCAATATAACGGAAAAATCTCAGTATGAGCGGCCCGGCCCGGCCCGGCCTGTAACGCTTTTGAGAGGCTTATATCTTAGCAACCGCTGGACCGATTGGCCTGCGGTTTTTTGCTGGGTAGCCCCATCCCTTCTACCCGTAATTGACTACTTTTGATACATGTCAGTGACCGTCGTGGCACGTGCCACGTGAAAAGTCAAGGGTGTTCAAGCAGTTTTGCAAAAGTAGTGATTTTGAGAGGCCCATATCTCAGCAGCGGCTTGAGCGATTGTCTTGCGATAATTTTTATAGGGTAGCTGCATCCCTTCTACCAAAGGCCGGATACTCTTGATCTATGTGAGCGACCCCCACTGCACGTGCAAAATACAAAAAGAAGAGGTGCCAAATTTGTTCCCATTTCAGTAACTCGGTAATTACTGGGGCGATTTCGCTGAAACTTGGCATACAGGTAGGCACCCACCAGGCATGCATTCCAATGTGTTGCGGTTAGGGTGCTACTGCACGTGCGCACGTGCAGGGGGCGTTTCCAGATCTCGAGAACTGCTGGGCCGATTGCGCTCAAATTTGGTACACGGTTGGGGACCGGTTAGTAGGGTGCCGTGCAAAAGTCATTTTGGACCCCGTTTGCACGTGCGCACGTACAGAATGCCGCTTCCAGATCTCAGGAACGGCTGGGCCGATTGCGTTCAAATTTGGCACACCGCTAGCGACCGGTTAGAAGGGTGCTTAGCACAGGCCCGTTGGAAGTACCCTCTTGGCCTTCCGCACGTGCAGGGCTCACTATCTCGCTCGCTCGTTCTTCGCCCAAAAGGCGTTTTACTGGTTTAACAGTATTTCAGACGGATTCTCAGCGCCAAAGGCGTGAAGTGGATTGCCAATAATCGAGTAAAACGGGCCTGGGCACGTTTGCACGTATCATGAATGTCTGTGTGCATGCATGCACCATGTGTGTTGTGTCATGTGAAGGTATATGTATGCATTGCGCGCGATATATATTGTGCTACTCGGTGATATCTCGCGACCAAAGCCGAAAGTTTTTAGCGGAAGAAGCTTGTCTTATTAGCTGAGGAGTAATGGTACTTGTACAACTACAGTCAAAATGTCACTGCTTAGATGCATGATTTGATCTGGATCCGGCGTCGAGCGAGGATAGGCCGCATGGAAAGGAGTTTGAGCGAACAAAATGAATCTGCAGAGGCAACAGCGTAAATGCTCCCAGTTCATTGGGGTCACTCGTCCAAATGAATGAGAAACTGGTGCAACAATTTTTTAAGTGCTTACATTGCGTTGAACAATTCCAAAAAAAAAATGGCAACAGAGGACAGAGGCAAGAATAGGCATTTTCATTACAAAATGACTGAATTTAGCGATGAGGTAGTGTAAAAGATCAGAACATATTCGAGAAAAAGAAATATATAATCTCTGTCGACAAATGTCGTGAACCTGTAGCTCACCTCCGTCTGTCTCGCTTTTTCCATGCACGGTTCAACTGGTATAATTAAGTCGCATGACGCATCGAGAGTCTAATGAAACTTTGAAAAGTATGCCAGAAATTGCTAATTCGGGCGTACTCTTCCACTCAAAATCGATGGTTTCGGAATAAGGGCCCGCAAAGTTGTCTGGCTCTCGTCATACTGGTTATTTTGAACAAAAATTAATTTAGTAAGTAGTAAATATTCAAATCGAACTTCACTGTCTATGTGAAAAAAACATTTTCGTAGTCATAGTCACCACCCGTTGTGGTCTTGACTATGCAGTATGTAGGCTATCGGTTGCTGCCAACAGAAGGGAGAGCTGGACATTTCGTATGCTTGTTCCATGTGGAAAGAGCCATGTTCCCGCATTGTCACAGAGGAACTGCATGTAAGCAAAGCTGCCTGTGTCGGTAGGTAGGAGACACGAACAAATGCCGAAGGAGTGCCCGCTAATGGAGATGCTGGAAGTTAATCTCTGTTCTTAGAATCACTCTTTGTGGCGGTATAATGAGGTCGGTTTACACCTCGACGGATGCCTTGTGATCACTTTGCATAAGTGAACCGTATGCAGATTAGCGCCAAGCCACATGGACGATAATGCTCGGCCATTCTCCACATGATACCCTGCAGTCTCGTGAGTCGGTGCACCACAGGCGGACTTTGATTTGTTTGCGGTCAGCGGTCTAATCAAAATGTATGAGCGACAATGTGTGTGATGATGAGGGTTATACCTACTGCTGTGCAAACTAATCGTGTCATTCATTCTGGTTCATGTGTGTTGACTGGTGTGTATCACTTGGATATGCATATTAGCTGCTCGGTCCTTACGTATATATGTATTGTTGACTCATAAGTCATGAGAAGTGCATTTCTGATTACGGAGCGAGCGAAGCGAGCGTAGTCTTTCCTTAGATTAACGGAAATTTCTGAGTATGAGCGGCCGGCCGGCCGTGGTCACGATTCTGCGACGCTTATATCTCAGCAACCACTTGACCGATTTACACGCGGTAATTTTTGTAGGGGAGCTTCATTCCTTCTACCAAGTATTGGACTATTCCCGATGCATGTGGGTGACCCCTTATGCACGTGCCACGTGCAAAACGAAGAGGTGTCACTTTTGTAATTGTTGCAATATCTCGGTAACTACTTGGCCGATTGCGCTGAAAGTTGGCATGTAGGTAGGCACCCACTAGGCAATGCATATCCATGTGCCAGAGTTGGGGTCCTGCTGCACGTGCGCACGTGCAGGGGTCGACTCCAGATCTCGAGAAAGGCTGGGCTGATGGCGCTCAAATTTGGCACATGGCTAGGGACCGGTTAGTAGGGTGCCGTGCAAAAGTCAGTTGGGACCCATTTTGCACGTGCGCACGTGCAGGGTGCCGCTTCCAGATCTCGAGAACGGCTGGGCCGATTGTGCTCAAAGTTGGCACATCGCTAGAGACCGGTTAGTAGGGTGCCGTGCACAAGTCAGCTGGAGGTACCCCGTCGAAATTTCGCACGTGCAAGGCTCACCCTCTCGCTCGCTCCGTTAGTCGCCCCAAAAGGCGTTATACTGGTGCATAGAACGTAGTACATAGAACCTTATAGTAACCACTGGCATAAATGTAATGGTCAGATGGTAAGCCTATACGACATACGTGTGCAAGATTTGATTTATTTCATCTGTACAACGCAATGAAATCAATTCACCATTCTTCGAGACGTAGTACCAGCTCTTCGAATAACGCATGAGTTCTTATTTCGTTTAAACGTCTTCTTACCTACGCCCGACGCCATATCGAAATTTTCTGGCGAAATTTTTGCTCTTTTCAGCCAGGAAGAACCGGTGCTTCGAATCCATCGAATCCAGCACGGTACTGCAGTGTTCACGTTGTCAGAATCTGTACCTCATTGATACAGACATGACGTTCTATTTCTGACGCTGCTGGCTCTATGTATGTTGTCAGGACCTCTACCTAGTACCTTATTGATACAGACATGACGTTCTATTTCTGACGCTGCTGGCTCTATGTATGTTGTCAGAACCTCTACCTTATTGACACGGTTCTGACCTGGCTTCATTGACGCTGCTGGTTCTATGTATGTTGTCAGAACCTGTACCTGATCGACACTGACGTCACGGGCTTCATCCTGACGCTGCTGGTTCTATGTATGTTGTCAGAACCTGTACCTGATCGACACTGACGTCACGGGCTTCATCCTGACGCTGCTGGTTCTATGTATGTTGTCAGAACCTGTACCTGATCGACACTGACGTCACGGGCTTCATCCTGACGCTGCTGTGTAAATGTATGTTGTCAGAACCTGTACCTGATCGACACTGACGTCACGGGCTTCATCCTGACGCTGCTGTGCCGTCGGTTCCTCTGGGCCGTGCTCAAACACATGAGCCTCAACTTTCTGCCGCGAGCGGCCGCCCAGTACATGTACTTAACTAGCAGGTGAGTGCTCAGATCGCTTAGATTGGGGTGAGCTGTCAAGCTTCTGCTGTCACATTTATAAATAAGCCTGTCATTTCCCAATAGTGAATCCTGGGCATTGTGGAATTGTGGATATTCAACACAGTGAATTATGTAAAAGCGTGCACCGTATCCATGGGAACCGTTCCGGTGTCAAATGGCGCATTTAGTGTCGCCCTTTAGCTGTTTTGCATTATTCGAATTCATCGCCCAAAACGCGACGATGGACTCGCATTTGCTCTTTGAGATCTTATTTTGTGACATACCTATAGTTAAGTAATTAATTGATACAAAAATACAAAAAATCAGTCTTGTGTTTATATTGCATTTGACGTATTAGTTATCAGCATAACATTTATCGATGAGTGATCGTGATAGCAATTTTTTAAATCTCAATCTGATACTACTAAGCTCATCGGCAAATGTCATGTCAAATTTGAGGATTCCTTATCAGTTAATAAGGAATCCTCAGTTAATTATTAAATCGTTTGCAGAACGGTATGCACTAATCTGACTGTATTTTCTGCTCACCGGCACCTGGCTTCACCCTGGTCGGATGTGAACCTCTGTTTTGTTTTCAGGATACTGGTGCTTCTCACTACGTTTTCTCTGCTCTCGTGGTTCACCTACCAGATATTCATGAAGCACCATATCGTCCATATTCTGTACCTGTATTATTTGTAAGTAGCGGAGTGTGCACTGTGTAACGTAGGAGTTAGTTACGTTGCTTTGCGAGTATGTATGCTCTAAGTTTTTACGCGTCTTTGCTTTACATTTTACAACATGTGCAATGGAAAGTTAGTACAGTCGTGGGACTTCAGCTTTTATAAGAATCACATAAATAATGTGTTTCTAATTAAATGCACTTGACAATGCGTTAGGTATAGAACAATGCGTTAGGTATATCTCTAATAGTCCAGACAGTTAAATAACGTGTGCCGATGTCAGGTGTCGTAATACCCAAAGCACTGCCATTAGTCAGTAATGCAGTGGTGATTTTTAAGCCTCAATGAAATCATGAATGAATAGGCTCGTTGAGCTTGCTAAAACAAAGATTTAGATAATTACAGCCGGTTATCCCCATCACATCCGGCCATCTAGCGTGAATAATGCTCCTTTCTTTTCCAGGATTGTGGTATACTTTATTATATTCGGACTCACAATGGAGCCCTTCCTGGATTTGATACCAGAATACTCAAAAATACGACAGGGCACATCAGGTAAATGACGATTGTCAGCACGTGTGGAAACATTTGGTGTTTACACTTTGTCGGCCTGGTATCAGTGACATTCCACCGGTAGCATTGTCCCTTTGTTTACCGTCTAGTTTAAAACGATTCAATCGATTTAATTTTGACGTGCAAATCCATCCGGTAGGAATGCCGGAATGTCATTGTTTGCTGTTAACACACTTGTATATTATATAATGTATCAGTGTCACACTTGCTTCAGACCTGTTTATAATTCAAAATTTACGCTGATTCTGCGTTCTTACAGTCACTTGTGTCGTTGCTGAAACCTGTATGTGCTAGCAGAAAATATAACGATAATTCAATATCGTGTCCACGACATTGCTGAACGAAGTGGTTTTTTCTTCCCTTATCGCGTTTCAGTATAATGTATATGCTTTGTTGTTCACAATTCCCTTCAGTGTTTTCTGTAGCATCCAGGTAACGTTTTCTACCGTACCCTCAGTGACGTATTCTACCGGGTACCCTTAGTGACGACTTTCACCGACACCTCAGTGACGTGCTCTACTGTACCCTCAGTGATGTATTCTACCGGGTACCCTCAGTGACGTATTCCACCGACATCTCAGTAAAGACTTCCACCGATACCTCAGTGACGTGTTCCACTACACCCCCAGTGACGTATTCTACCGTACTCCCAGTGACGCCGCGGCCCATCTACCACGCCTGCTCTCCGAGCCCCGAGGGTATTCGGCAGGAGGTGGAAGTACTCAAGGGCGACTTTAACGTCCGAATCAAACAGAGCCTCTTCAACGCGCTGATGGTCGGGTACTACGTCGGCATAATACCGCTCTTCTTTGCACAGGTAAGTTAATGCCTGTTATCTTGATACATAATTGAAATCCTCTGTATGTTTGTAGTTTACCTCCGCTCTACCTTATCCTGCGAGACTGAACGCATCCCGATTTTCCTTTCCAGTATGGTTAGGTATTCAATTACCATAGGTATCTGGAAAAGTTTGTTGCCAACAATTCAGAACGCCTACGCCGCTCATTATCTGTGTACGTTCGGTTAGAACTTGGTAGACCTACGTCGCAAAAGATTCTTTGTTTGGAATGTCGACGTATCCAGTAGTTCGCACTCAGTGTACTGGTGTTCAAAGTTCACCGCTTCCACTGCGCACCATCGGCGTTTTTTAGTCCACTGTTGTACCCCGCTATCTGACGTTCTTGACCTTTGTCTGTGCCCTGTGGACACTCCTTTTTCCGCCGTCAGTGTTTTTGGGTCGCTGTTGACAGATAATGACGCGTCGTTTCATTTCCAGAACACCCTGCAGTACGACACGTTCTGGGTGGGCCAGCACGCCGTGTTCGTGTTCTTAGCCAGCATGACGCTCTACCTGGTGTACTGCTTCCCGCCGCGCTACTGCGACATCCTGCACCGGGCCGCGCTCCACCTGGGCACCTGGTCCCGCGTGGACGACCGGCGCGCGCACATCTCATTTAATCCGTGAGTACATGTTAGAGCACAGGTCAACGGGAGGACGACATCGCAGCTTATTAACTGCTCTAATGGTTCCTATAACGCACGGTTTTATGAAAATTTAACAACACTGCTCGTTACAATTGTTATTTTTATGGAAATGCAACCTGCCCATTTATATTGCAAGTGGTTTTCGTATGCCGATTCCTGCTGTTTGGATGCTAACTCTTTTTTCTTTTTCTGAAGTCAGAGTGAGCAATTATTACGGCTGATTACGGCCTCACCGGTATGTTTAAATCGGTCAGTTTCCTTGGTGGGCTCGGACTCTGACATTGTTTTGACGAGGTCTGACGCGTTATCTGAGATAAGCCACCAGACCTGTCGAGTGTGTCACTCCAGTAATGACCGGACTGTAACCGCCTGCCACACAGGTGGAACCGGGAACAGCTGTGGTCGCGGGGCGTGCTGACCAAACACAGCCGCGAGTTCTACCGGTGTGACGCGCCCTCGGCCGCCGCCGAGCCGGGCAACGCGCACCACGAGCGGTTCTATGTGAGTTATAGTCGGGGAAACGCGCACCTCGAGAGATTCTACGTAGGGTGTAGTTGGGAGACGTGTAACATGAGAGATTCTACGTGAGTTGTAGCTGGGAAATATGCAACACGAGCGGCTAGCTAAGTCTGCGCTAGTTATAGTCGGGAAACGGGCAACACGAGCGATTTTATGTGGGTAATTGTCGGGTGATACGCACCACGAGCATACGTGAGTCGTCGGAAATGGCGGTTGAGCGACTCAACAGGGGCAGCCGGGAATTATTATGTGAATGAAGGGCGAGCATTGAAACAGTTTTACCGAGTAGCTGGTAATGCACACCACAAATTATTAGGTACCTGTGCTTAGCCGGGAAATGTGCATCACTAGAGACTAAGTCAGTTTACTCTCCCCTCCCCCTCACCCTGCTCCTCCCCTGCCGTCGTCAGATGCTGTTCTTCAGCCCGTCCAGAGAGCACTGAGCAGTGGTGCGGGTCCCTCTCCCCCGCTGACCCCCTCCCCCTCTTCTACCACCTTCAGATGCTGTTCTACAGCCCCTCTGGGACGCAGTGGGTGGTACTGGCCCCTCTCTCCCGCTGACCGCCCTCCCCTCCCCTCCCCCGTCGTCTTCAGATGCTGTTCTGCAACCCGTCCGGGGCGCAGTGCTTCATCCTAGGCCTGCAGGTGTGCGCCGTCCTCTCCGAGACGCTGCTGCTCATCAGGGCCGTCGAGTGGTACCAGCTCATATCGGGCTCCATCCTGCTCTTTGTCAACTTCTACCCGCTGTTCAAACTATTCAGGGACTACCTTATACTGTGTAAGATATACAAGGCCGAGCGGCTGATCCTAGAGAAACAGGCGCCGGCTAGCTGAGGCGACACGTGTAAAAATGGACTCGTCCAGGGTATGACCTCCCCCGCAGTGGGAATGGACTCATCTTCATGACATGTTGAGCGTCGTGCCGTTGTTATCTTCAGGAATATTGTGTTTGTGTTCCCGAACGGTGAACTGTAAGCTTGCGTGCGCGCCCGTCGTAAGTGCGAAAGGGGCGTGTTTTTAACGATGACTTAATGTGTTCGAATGATGGCTGTATTTTTGGTTCATTGCTTGATTTGCTGCACCTTGCTGCGCAGGGGAAACTGAAGTTGCTTCATTGATTCGCTGTATAACTGCCTGATATCATCGGTGGCTTTTCGCGGTGTGCGGCGAATGGCCACCCCATTACGTAATACGCTTTTGTTGCAAGGTGATACGAGACGCACATGGGTTAGAATGAGATGTTCAGACTTGTTTTCATGTTGTTGATTTGGTAAAGTCGTCATTTGTTCGCGTATAAACATTTGCACTTGTCTGTATTCCGAAGAAGTGGTAGCGCTACAAGGATTTTTAGTATTGACTTGGCATTGGCCAATAAACTTCAGTTGGCGATATTGGGTGGTTTATGGGATTGGAGGAGCGTGTGCCTCCTACTGAAATTCGTATCCGGCGCCCGTATAGCAAAGACTCGTTTTGGAGAGGGTCGATGTAGGATAACGTTTGGTAAATGGAATATCATCGGCTAGGGTGGTATATTGTTAAATCGTAAACCGCTTCTGAAGGCTGTCATTATTGCAATTCAAGATCTCCATTCGTATTGGATAACGTCGCCACTCGCCACATAATCATAGTTCGTAATGGAGACGGTTCGTGTCAAATGCGGTTTGTGTGTGATAGGTCAGGGCAATGTTGATAGGTCAGGTTCATATGAATGAGTTCGTATGAAGAGAAAAAACTTTTCGTTCGAAGAAAACCCTCTTAAGTATATATGAAGTTCGTTTATGAAACATTTCACAATGTAAAAGAGGCAGTCCTAGAAGCGGCTGCGCGCGCTAACCCACAAAGAAGAAGTCCTAGAAGCATCAAACTTGCATCTCTACTTGCATACTTGTCTGCAGACTTTCAGCTATAAGTCGTCAGAGAACTGAGAGTTTTAGCATGATCTGGTAAAAGATATCTGGCATCGCTAAATGTCAACGCCGCCTCCGCGTCATGTTTGTATACGATTGGAAAACGCGCACGGGCAGTGGAATTTGTATTATCTGTAAGAATCTTGATTTGTATTGTAATTGCATTTAAGATAAATACTTATTGTTGTTGTTTTCAACGTTTTACCCATCAGCCTAAATTGAGAGGGTTCTTATTTTTTAATTTTTCGGTAAGTTAATGTGATGTATGAAGCATGCTTTCTCTGGTTCCTCTTCATCTTCCCTGTGCTGTGTTGTCATGGCCTTGGTGTTGTCTGTAATCAGTTGAATTTCTTCTATCCACATGGTTATATGCATTTCAAATAATCATTTCGTTGAATGTACGGTAAACTAGCTGTGTTTCAGTTAAAAATCAACCAAAATTGAACGCAACATTACTCTTTAAATCTAAAACTTGTACAATGGATTTCAACCTTGCACGTCTTGTGATACCAGAGGGCTGTTCACGGGCCCTGTGTGCGGTCAGACCGCACACAGCCTCCAAGCTCCGCCCACTGCGTCCCTACGTCTGCCTTCCGTCACCGCACACAGCGATCGCTGTGGCCGGTCGGGACTGGCCACGGCGGACCGTCCACCGCACTCAGCCGTGACGTCAGAGCCGCCTACCCATCCCCTACCCCCACGCCTGCTGGACGCACCGCACACACCGCACGCAGCAGTGTGCGGTGCCCGTGAACACCCCTCAGGGAACAGTCTCGATCTGTGAATTACTGATAGATGAAGTAAAACTCCATGTCATGGCTGTATATGCCCAATTTTTTAAGTATCTACTTGACAACGCTAGGCTATATTGAGCCAACTTGAATATAACTTGCACATGTTATAACTTGCGCGTGTTCCGGGGAACGTTCAGGGGAGGTAAATAGAGGACACTTATTTTGAGACTGCAGCACAAATTGTGTCACTTATTTCAAATCCTGGTAGGTTGTAAATTATGAGATTCTGTAAGCTATACATTTTTAAATTTGTATTGTTGATTTGTTTGGGAATTCAGGGACGCTCACTGTTGCATGTTCCACGACCTCCTCTCCTGAATAGCCTCCCTCTAGCCATCAAGTGGACTAGAGATGCTGACCATTGTTGATTGTGGATGGCGCGTCTTTGCGTAGAGTTCCTGTCCTGTCCTGACCACTCCTTCAATAAAAGCAGAACAAGGGAACCCAACCAGGTAAGATTACACATATAGCTGTTATTATTGGTTCTATTTTTAAAGCCACTGAAGCTGTTGCTCATGAGTCGTGGTAGTTTGGCTTTGCAAAGATCAATCAGGATCAGGTATGGACTATGGAGTATCTGATGTGGGACTGGTCTGCAAACACCATGGTTAATGTGGTCATACAACTGTGTCCAGTGTTGGCACATTAATTTTTCTTTTAAAGGGAATGTCTGTAGGTACCACTTTCCTCGAATTAATTTGGATTTGCTACAATTTTGATTTTTATGCTGAAAATGAACAGTGGAGAAAATAGTGAATTATTGGAATTTTTTAGATGTTTTCACGCAAATAAAAACTATTTTCCATCTATGTTAGAGGCAGTGTTTGCAGCAGAAGCTGATTGTGTGTTGACCAATCATATTAGGTACCTACCAGCTAGCCTACCTAGTTTTTAACTACTGCATGCTGATTGGCTGACAATTGGCATCTGCCACAAGTGGCTGCGTTGTTGGCATTCTTCCATAAGGGAAAAATTCCTGTGTAAAGGAATTGTTTCAGAATGAGAAATGGAATATCTTTGCCTAGGGTGATCATTGGGCCATAAAATCTCCTGATTTGTGCTAGTCTCAGCTCAACCTGCAAAACTGCTATTTCAGTTCAAAACCCCAACAGTGGTATATTTCCTTTAATGTTCCAAACAGTTTGAACTTTGAACACTGGCTACACAATGTTACTGAAGCTGAGGTCCACATGAAGAAGGGCAAATTTTATTCCTTTCCATGTTTTTCCATGTGCTGAATGCTAAAGCTCTGCTTATTAGTGCAGCAAACCACAATCTTATCTGACCTAACCTGACCTGGCCTTCTGCCAGACCAGAGGCAATGTCCAAAAGCTGTATTTTTGGCTTGGGTGTCAAAGGGAAATTTTTCCTCCAACAGGATGGATGAGAGTGGAAAATTGCTGATCAGGTAAGGCCCAAAGTATGGAAAAAAGATCAATACCATTGATTTTGATATAAGTTTGGTAAAATGTAGGATGTAAAATGACCACCCACACCTTTTCTTCTTGGTGAAACTGGAGCTGAAAATTGTTCTTTAAAATTCCATCCAAGGGTGCAGAATGATTTTTATTTTGAAGTTGTTTAGACCCATATCAACAAATCTTGGGATACTGGTCAGAGGGAGATGTTGGTTGTTAGGTAGGTGCAAGATTCTTACAGATAAGTGTAGGGTCATGTGGGGTTAGGTTAGGTTTGGAATTTGGATGGTTTAGGTTGGCCGTTAGATTGGTTGAGTTTATAATGCTATTTGCTGCACTAATAAGCATTTTTTGAACAACAATTGAAAGCTCCCAATAAAACTATAAAGCTGGTGTCCAAACAACTTTTTGCACATCAATCGAACAAAGTTTGTCCTTGGAAAATTATGTGGACCTTAGCTTCAGATTAACCAGTCACATACCTAAATTACCCAACTGTTACACACGTGAATGCATTGCCCTGTGGGTGTCCAGTGTCCACTAATGGGCTAAGTTGTCAGTGCATTTGGGGCCAAGACTTTGCTTCATGCTCGCTTGTAATCATTGAACAGATACACTATTAGGGACAGGTACCTGCTTGGCAGAGTTGAAGGGACATATTTTTTACATTCCAATCCATAGTTAGCACAGCCTAATGGTAACCAGCCCCTGCTGGGGCTTGGCTGGGGCTACTGAATTCCCATGCCCAGCTGGTGTGTGTGTGTGCGTTAGGGGGGGGGGGGGTAAACGCCCCTTCCTCTTAACTCGGCTCCAGGGCCATGCAGCGACACGCGGTAGGCGTCGTTTGAAAGGGCGTCAAAATAATGATGAAAACACAGGCCATTTTTAGGTCAGGTTAAAGGTCAGGTCACCAGAGGTCGTCAGGTCAAATTTTGGTCTGTTTCGACAATTTTCGACAAACCGGCGTATAGGTCGGAAATGAAAAGAGCTACAGCGCTGCAGAAAAGCGCGTTTGATAGCCCTGTTAACGCTCTTACTTAGTTATTTTCCCACATTTTGTTTTTCAACGTCTCAGGGTCAACGGTTACCTTGCAGAGGGTAAAAAGTGCCAAAAACGACCATTTTTTGCGGAAACATTTTTCTTCAATAACATTCGACTCAAAAGTCTCACGAGCTTGTGTTTACCGGTATTGTGTTTCTGTCGTCGAGACACGTCTAATTAACTATAATTTGACCTTCAAAGAGAAAGTTCAAGAATTTAACCTCAGGTCAAGGCCGTGACCTGACCGGAAAAGGTCTTGTTGCATATCAGTCGATCCGTATCGTCGAGCCGAACACATCTCAGGTGTTCTGATCGCTCTAGCATGCCTCTATCAAAAACGATTAGCGAAAAAACCATTGGATACCTTTTGTGACATAATATGACCTCAGGGGCATAACGAAGGGCCACTAGAGCAATCATTCATTTCAATACTTTACATTTACATGTTACCAGATGGTTGAGAGTATTTAGTATGTCGCTCGTCCAAAAAATTCCACTTTTCAATTTTCTTTCACGCAGAGGTTGCAAAATTGACTTAACCCTAGGTCACCGATATCAAAATTCCGAGATGCACATTTTATACATAATGTTGCCCTTATCGATTGCTGAAAGTTTCCAAGCGATCCGTTCTTCAGTGTAGCTATGGCAAGCACTAGGACTTATTCCAAGGTGAGGTCACTTGACGTGACCTGGTTACCTGAAACCTGGGCCTGAAATTTAAACGTGTGCAGTAAATATGTATAAGGTGTGCCAAAAAATGGCGTTCCGTGCCGCCGTTTTTGAGATATTCGCGAAAAACGGAAGGTATATTCGAACACCCCCCCCCCCCGTCCCAGCAGCAGGGTGCGGGTTTAAGTTGCGCCGTCTTGATATGCGCCAGTCACTATCTTAGTTTGTTTGATATACTCTTTTGTCCTTACCACCATGATATTTTTCTTTGAGAGATGTTTTATGCTGTTTACACCATTCATTGACTATATTCATGGACACGAGTATGGATATTTATCAAACATTCTTGCCTTTTAGAGATTCAGTTGCCCAACAAGAAACTAGATCGACCTTTAACTTTGTTCTTATGTTTGTCTTGGGTCGTGTTTGATGCAAAGTCTGTCATAAGTTGACCACTGCAGCTCCGACTGGCGTAGTCTCGCCGTATCTGGAGTATTTCTGACTGGCAGGTTGTTAACCGACCCGAAGTTGCCCGGCTGACCGGCCAGCTGTGGTGTTCTCACAGTCTCCAGTGAGGGCCGAGCGGCGGGGCCGACCGCTCTGACCGTGCTCCCTCCCCTGTGTGCCGCCAGATCGGCTGGGCGTGCCCTCTGAGACAAACACTGACTCAATGAGAGCCAGAGGGCAGCATGTCAGGAGCGTCTACCAACCAGGCCAGATTGGACAGAAACAAGCCCAAATACCCTGCCTCGAAAGGAAATGAGCTGTACAAGGTGAGTGTGCTCTGTCAGTGGTCACTATCGTATTTTGTGTGTGTCTGGCTGTTAAAAGCTGAAATTTGAATGAAGAATAATACCTGATATTGGTCTGACTCACTCTTTCGGAATATTAGAGCTTTAACTTTTCATCTCGCTGTTTTAACCCGCGCGGGGCTGGGGGGGGTAAATTTTACCCCCCCCCCCATCGCGAATTTTTGCAATATCTCAAAAACGGCGGCGCGCAGCGCCGCCAAACTTTCAGTACCTTTTCCTACATCAATTTGACACGTTCCTTGAAAATTTGAGCGAAATCCGTCGGAATATTTTTGAGAAATTGACGTTTTAGTGACGTCATGTTCGCCATTTTCGCCTCAAAAACGGCAAAATTTCAAACGCCGCTAACATCTTCATTTTTAAAGGAATCAAGACGTAACAAAAAGGTTATACGTAATTTTACTTTGTCTATCAAATGGCTATCTCGGTTTTTTGAAAATTTTGGATTTTGGCCCAAATTTTTTCAAAAAACTGACTTTTGGGAAAATAATTATAAAATCCAAAATTTTGAGTGTATCGAAAAAAACGGAATATATGTCAGAAGTGGTCTATGTGCACCTACATACCAATTTTTAGAAAAATCGGTTAAAAAATGTGAGAGTTATACAAAATTTTATGACGTCACGACACACAAAAATTTTGAAAAATGTTTTTTTTTGGAAGTTCTAGACCTCGTACGGAAACAAAAATAGCACCATTCGATTCGCCGTGAAAAACTGCATCAGATAGACACCTTTTTGGGCCTTAACAGCCAACTTCAAAATTTGACCTCACTTGACCTGACCTTGACCTGACCTCGACCTGAAATTCATCCAGAGGTGGTCCATATCACCTATTGAGTGTGCCTATTGAATTCTATGAGTAAAATGACCCATAAAACATGTGTCGCACATGCCCTTTTCTATATTTTGTTTTTGGTGACCTGACCTGACCTGACCTGACCTGACCTTGACCTTGACCTCTGAATGATATTGTATGCAACGAATATTGTCTTGGTAGCCTAAGAACACGTTTTGGGCAATCAGTCTCAGTCCATGACTCCATTCTTCGGCAACTACGGTGCAAGGCCGATACTGGCCGACTTGCAATTTGTACCCTTGACCTGACCTTGACCTTGACCTCAAACTTTAAATTAAGTACATGTTTTTAGTTGTTCGTGATGAGATCTTTCGATTGGCGTTTGAATTTTCCAAATCGGACCATTAGTTCGGGAGATAACAGGGGGGTAAAATTTACCCCCCCCCCCCCCAGCCTCGCGCGTTCGGCTGGAGACCCCAGCCCCGCGCGGGTTAACAGTAACTAGTGATTCTTTATATATTTAGATTAAGCTTTAAACTATTTATCTGAAAAATGGATGCATCATCGATATTTCAGGTTACTTTTGTTTTCTTAACGGCAAAAATGATGGCTGAATATAATTGTATCCACTGATTATGAAGCCATCTGACAGCTATCTAGCGACACAATGGACTCATCTTTCTATGGCCTGTTTCAGAACAAGCCTGTGGCGTTTCAGAACCGAGGGCCGTTCAACAGATATGGTCTGCAGAGCGTCGGAAAGCCCGTGTCCGCCCGGAGAATACCGCCGCCGGCGCAACTCCCCAGGTCAGTGACGGCGGCGGCGGCAGATCGGAGACAGAATTTGTATTATCTGAGATAATAGATGTCAGTTACTGTAATAATGTTGTGGATTTTATCAGCTGATTTGTTTCGTTCCTGGGTCGCTCAGATTTATCAAAACAGCGCTTATGTTGTCGGAGACTAATGACAAAATTGTGGCCTGTTTTCTGTCAATAATAGCAATAATGCGGCCGCAGTTTTAGTGCGATCTTTGTCTAGCAACTTCAGCTATTTAATTTGCATTGTCCACGTGTTTCAGTTTGAAGTCTGAGAACAGTGGGAACGACCCGAACGTTACTCTCGTCCCGCTCGGTGGTCAAGGATGGGGCTCCAAAGACTCGGCCGCTGCTGCCGGCGAGGGCAGTGCCAAGCCGGCGGCTCCGGCGGCGGCCCCGGCCCCAGCGGCAGCACCAGCCGCGCCGGCCGGACCGCGCACCTGGAGCGGCGTCACTGCCGGCTCGGCGGCGCCGGCGCCCTGGAGACCTGTGCGCCAGTCGGCCGGCTTTCAGCGCGAGTTCCCCTCTCTGGCCGGCGAGTCCGAGCCGCCGCCGGCGCCGCAGCCAGCTGCCCCAGCAGCCCAGCACACGGCTGCACCCGCCATCCAGCGCCCGGCGGCGTCCCAGCCGGCGCCGGCCGCGGAGTCGACCGGAGACGGCGGCGCGCCCAGTCTGCGCCCGACCACGGCCGGCAGCTGGGCGCGCGGCGGCCGCCGGACCGACGGCAGTACCGCGTCTGGCCCGGCGGCGGCGGCGCCCGCGGCCGCGCCGGCTGAGCGGCCCGCAGAGGCGGCGGTGACGGCGCCGGCCCCGGCTCCGACCGCTGCGGCTCGCCCGGCGCCGCCAGCTACGGCAGCCATCAGCGGGCCAACTTTCATGCCAGCGTTCAACGACCTGATGCCGGCGTACATGCGGCCGGCCGGCCAGCCGGCATCACGGCCGCCAGCTGCCGCGCTCCCCGCTCGTCAGCCGACGGCGCCGCCCAGCCGACCGCACCAGGAAGCGACGCCGAAACAGCCGCCTCCGCCGCCGGCGGGCGGACTCGAACCTGGGCGGCCCACCAACCATCGGCCCATTATCAAGGAGGAGGACCTGCGCAGCTTCGACGACCTGGCCAACAAATACGACAAGGGCTGGGCCGCCGGGGTTGACGATATCGACTACAAGTAGGTGGTCACTTTGGTCACAGTAAAAGAGCTAAATCCTTGCTACGTTTACACTGATATAACGTTTACAGTGATAAATATTTCGTAATTTCTGGACTTTCTGGGCTTTATCTGGGAAGGTTGGGTACATCTTTTGCCTCTTATCAGCTTTCTTCTAGTGTTGCAGTTGTGGAATTATGGCGTCATATTTTCTCTTTATTTTATAGCTATTTTTGGCTCGAACCTGCCAGTGTGTCGCCTCTAACCGTTATTTTTCCCATCCGCAGCAAGAAGCTGTCTTTCTCGGACGACGACAGTGAGCCGGAGCCGGAGCCGACGCCTGCCAGCCGGTCTTCCAGCCGTCCCAGCGGCCCGTCTGAGCGGCCTGCCGAGCCTACCCGTACCGCAGAGCGGCCGCCGGACCGTCCGTCGGAGCGCGCTCCGTTCGACCGGGCTCCGTTTGACCGGCCGGCGTTTGACCGCGGTCCGCCCCGGCCAGGACCGAGCGACTGGCGCAGAGACGGTCCGCCGCGGCCCGGCCCGGCCGCCTACAACGGTCAGTGCCGCAGAGAGCTCATTGTTGTGTCCGAGGCCTCGGTTTTCTCTCACATTAAACTTTAACGAGAAGAAAGTCTGACGATGTGATTTCCTGAATCATCTACTTAAGCGAGCTCTCGACCTTCATTCGAATTTAATATTCCATTCAAGATGCAATAATTCAATCTACATTCATTGTAAAACTAGTTCAACTTTTTAGGTAGGGCGTGCTTGGCTTAGCAGCATTTCCAGACTTTAAAGCATAATTTAGCATGACCTGAAATTGCGTATCATTTAAGCCAGGATCACTATTTGTGTTGGAAGTCCTTATTTTGACCCTGCATTAAGTCGGATGCTGACTATATACCTACTGTCGTCCGTCAGGCGGCCCGGGCAGTTACCCCGGCAACAGCGGCAGCGGGTGGCCGGTGGCCGGCCGGCCGGACCCGACTGAGGTGCGCCGCCGCGCCGTGGAGGAGGAGGCCGCCTGTCGCCGTCAGGCTGACGAGGTGGCCGCGGCCACGGAGCGCGCCCGCCGCCGCCGCCAGGACGAGGAGGCGCGCTTCGACCGCCGGCGCCAGGAGTCGGCGACGGCCCGCGGCCCGGGCGTCTACCAGCCGCGCTTCCAGCGGCAGCAGTCGGGCGGTCCCGAGGACGGGAGGACGGCGCCGGCGGCCGGCGGCCGGGGCACGGTCAGGGACAACCGCTACAGTGACGATGTCAGGTTCAGCCAGCGCTCAGACGGCAGGGACGGACGCGGAGGCACACCACCGGACAGGAATCGGCTACAGAACAACTCTGTGAGTGAGAGTGAAACAACGGTTTGGACTAGGACCGTGACGGTCGCGGTTTTGTTAGATGGTTTTTGAGGATGCTTGCTCGAATGACATATTTTTCTACAGTAACCATATATAAATACTTTGGTTTCCAGCGGAAAAAATTGACTAAGGATGCCAGCGGGTAAAAACTGGGATTTATGCTTTGTGCTCTGCTCCTTGTGCTTTGCGCTCTCTTTCGTGTTTTTAGAATAAATGTCTTACCTTTCAATTATGCCCGTCAATTATGCAACACACCTCTGTGTTCGTTTCGGCATATGATCGCTTATGATCGACCCATCATGTGTCTCTTTAGCTGGTCTCGCTAACTGGCAGCGTTCTGTCCTTGCAGCGCGGTCCGCGCCGTTCGCCGCCCGACGACCGCCGGCGGCAGGAGGAACCGCAGGAGGAAGAGGAGGACGAGGAGCCGCGCAACTACGGCTCCTCCTGGGTCGACCAGCTCGAGGTGGAAGTCTCCCCGGCGCTGGCGGCCCTTCAGTGCAGCTCTGACCGCCCTGATACTAACGATAAACACAACTCTACGGCGCCTGCGTCCTCGACGAAGGCTGTGGACACCGACAAAGCCCCAACTCCGGCTAACTCCACCAATAGCAGCGTCAAGCCAGTGACCAGTACCGCAGCCAGCAGTGGTGGTGGCGACTCTCGGGACGGCGACCTTAGGCGGGATGAGCAGGATGTGCGGCGGCAGTCAGGTCACCAGCCGCCGTCTGCCAGGGAGCGACCCGACGACTCTGAGCGGCAGAGACAGCCGGCGGCGCCGCGTCGGAGTGACAGCGATCGCAGCAGGACGTCGGGTAGCAGTGAGAGCTCGACCGAGCTGTCGCAGGACGGATCGACCGGCAGACAGCGGCGAATGGAGCCCGGCCGGCCGGCACCGCAGCAATCGCAGCAGCAGCAGCACTATCCCCAGCATCAACAGCAGCGATACCAGCATCAGCCACAGAATTACCAACAGCAGCAGCAGCAGCAGCCCTACCAGCAACAGCAACAGCAGCCGCATTACCAGCAGCAGCAGCAGCAGCAACAGCAGCAGCAACAGCCCTACCAGCAACAGCCGCAGCAGCAGCAACAGCAGCTAATCGAGCGCGACATGAACCAGCCCCAGGCGCCGCCGTCGGCGCCACAGGAGACGCCGGCCACCAGACACCTGTCGGTGAGTGAAGACATTTTGGGAGGGTTATCCATAAGCATTTTATCTGCGGTGGTCTTGTGTGCCTGTTATTTAGTCATATAGAGAACGATCAACCGTTTCTTCTTCAATTAGCATATATTGTTGTAAAAACTAAAAAGTCGTAAAAAGAATAGACATAAAATGTTATTACAGCGTATGACTGACAGTTGGTATCCTCTGCCTGACGTCCCTGCCGTCTTCCACAGGAGCAGCGTGGCTCCACCCCAGACCGGTCGTCTTACCAGCACGGCCCGGGCCCTCTCGGTACCGGCGGCTGGCAGGATGGCGAACTGGACTCCCCGGCTGTTCCCGCCACTCTGGGTCTGGGCCGCGGCCGGCCTCTGCGCGGACAGGACGACCGGTCACGTGCCGCCTTCGACGCACCCTGGGAGGAGGTCATCCCACCGGCGGAGACCAATGGCGAGCCGGCGCGGCGCGGGCGGGGTGCCGGCCGCGCGCGGGACGGCAGAGGCCGGCGGCGCGGCGGCCGACCGGGTCCCGACGGCGAGGAGCCGGTCGGTGAGCGGTGGTCAGGCCGGCACGAGACGCTGCCGCCGCGCTTCCAGCGGCGCCGCGACGCGCCGCCGCCGGCACCGGAGGAGGAGCTGGGCTGGGAGGGCCGGCCGGAGCCGCCGCCCGCCGCGGAGGAATACGATGAGGAGCGTCTGGCGTACAGCGCCGCCGCCATCCACCAGGCCATGATGGACGGGGAGCGGGCAGAGCCGGCAGAGGAGGAGGGGCACCAGGGCGGCCCGCTCGGCGGCGAGCTGCGCATGGACGAGCCGGGGGAGGCCGAGGCGCGCAGACAGCGCAGGGACGACCGGCCCGGCCGCCGCGCCGCCGAACCACCCGCGGCGCCTCGCACCAAGCCGCACGAGCGCTCCCGCCAGAGCAAACTGCCGCCGCGGCTGGCGCGTCAGCGTGAGTCGGGCTGGTTGCAGCGCCAGGCCGCCGGTCCGCAGGAGATGGGGATGTTCGGGGCACCCGCGCCGCCGCCCGGCGGTGGCTGGCAGCCGCCGATCGCCCCGGCTCCGGGCTCGGCGCGGCCGCCAGTGTCTGTGAGCTGCGCCGACCCCGCCGCCCCCGGGCAGATGTTCAACGTGCGCTCCCTCGGCGGCGCCAACTTTGACGGCTTTGACGGTGCCAGCGTGCCGGCTCGCACCATCATCTTCGAGAACACCAACTTCAAGAACAGCCGCACAGCGCCGAAGCCGGCGCGCAGCCCGCCGCAGCCGGCCGGCGGCGAGCCGCGGGATGTGACAGCCCCGCAGCCGCCGCCGGCCGGCAAACGGGCGCCGCTCGAGCTGCCACTCATGCTGGACGGTGGCGACGAGGCACGCCAGATTCAACTCGACTTCACCTTCGACCAGGAGCTGGCGGCGCTGGCCTCCCGCGCGCCGGCGCCGCCGCCAGGAGTGGCCATGTCTCGCGGCACGGCCGACCTCAACATGAAGATAGCCTCTGTAAAGAAGGTCTGGGACACGCCGGCCGCGCCGCCGCCGCCGCGTGGTGTTCCCTCTGAGGAGCGCGCCAGCAGTGGCGAGTCGGCTGACCGGGTCGACAGAGACGACTCGGGGCTGGGCTGGGAGGAGCGGCCCGCCGCCAGTCTGACGTTCCCGGCCGCGGCCGCCTCGCCCGGCGGACCGGACGCAGACGCGGCTGTCTCGGCGCCGGGTCCAGTGAAGCCGCACACGAACCCGCACGCTCTCCGACCGGGGATAGCCCGTAACGGCGGCGCTCCTATGTCGGTGGCCTGCTCCGTGGCGGCTCCATCGCCCGCGGAGACGTTCTCAGTGGACGCAATGTCGAGCCGGCGGCCGCTGTCGCAGTACGAGCTGTACGCGCCGCCGCCGCTGGACCAGCTCTCGCACTACGCCTACCCGGACCATTCGGCGACCTTCGGCAAACTGACTGGAAAACCTGAGCCGGCGGCCTATCAGCCGGCGCCGCTGCAATTTGTCCAGTATGGCGCTCCACTGCTGGGACAGAGTGTCGGCTCCCACCTGCTGGGACAGCATCTGCTGCACAGCCAGCAGCCAGCCGCCACCGGACTCTACAACGGACCGCAGGCCGCCTACTTCCAGGTGAGTCAGGGCCAGCGCTGAGAGGGGGGGGGGGGTGGACATGTGCTGACTGCTGAGTTTAGGTAGAAAGATGACTACGATTGATCGTAGGACACTGGAGGAAGTAATTGTTAGATCTTATTTTTATGCTAGCATTTTTATGTATGTTTTGAAAACTCATGCCCTGCCTGAAGCTAAACCAATCGATTGGACTTGCTCTTTCTTACTTCATTGAAGACTGAAGAGCGTACTAAATTTCGGTTTTGAGCTGTTATTGAACAGTCTGTGGCATCCCCACCTGACGCCACATTTTCCCGGCTGCGTGCAGGGCATCCCGCCGCCGGAGCCGCACCTGCAGTCGTTCGGCGGCCTGCAGTCGTTCAGCGGACTGCAGCAGCTGCGGACGGCAGTGGCTGCCTCCGCGCCCTGGCGCACTGCGGACGCGGCGGCGGCCGTGGCTGCGGCCGCCGCGCCCGGCGCCGGCTCGCGCTCGCCCAGCAGCGCCGGCACGCCCTCGCCCTCTCCGGCGGCCGGCGTGCAGCCGTACCCGCCGCCGCCAGGCACGCGCGGCCCGGCCCGCCCGCCCGAGGCCCCGCTCTACCAGAGCCCGATTCGGCGACCGGTGCCGCTGCAAGTGGGCGGTGTGCCGCCGCCGGGCACCGCCGGCAGACCGAACCCGAGCTCGGCACAGCAGCAGAAGATGAGAGAGGCGGCGCTCCACCAGGCGCAGAACTTCTTTAGGGCTGGCCAGCAGGGTGAGTTCAGCCCCCAGTTTGGGCCTGACGGGAGAAAACGGTTAAATTATATGCATAGATAACATGAATCATGTTATCACTATGTTATATGTAATGTAATTTGCTTAGGAATGTTCTAATCACAAGCAGCGAGAATGTTGAGAGCTTTTAGTCTATCCAGATGAACAATAATACGCTCCACCACACAAGTAAATGGTTTCTTAGGTAAGCTTTGTTACAGTCCTTGGTTGGTAACTTAGGTATTACATCTTCTTACTCTTAGTTGAGAGGTTAGCTTCAGTATAGCACTTTGTTACGAGAGTTCCATGACAGCGGACACTGTTCAGTGAGCGGTAATATCTCAGCATTTTCCCTTCCCCGCCAGGTGCCCCAGTCGGCCCGATGGCCGGCTCTCGCCCCCCGGACGGCGTTGGAGACGTGGGCGCCGCGTTCGCGCGGGCCGACGACGGCAGCGGTGGCGACCGGGCAGCGCGGGCGGCCGGCCGGTACCGGCGCGACCAGGCTCGGCCCGGCCCCGGCGGCCCGCCGCCCGAGCGCAGGGACCAGCAGCGATGACCGCCACCGGGACCCCCGGAGGACCACGGACCAGACTCAGCACCGAGTGGGACGCCAGTGGAGAGGACCAGCGCGGACCGGCGGCGAGAGCACAGACCCGTCGTTAGACGGTCCGCTTATCGAGCAACCCAAGCGCGGCAGTGTGCGGAGCCGCAGACAGTGCGAATTTCAAGTGTCGACAGAACGGCCAAGCATTGGAGTTGAACGGACGACCAAGCTGATCGTGAAGTTTGATTAAGACGTCGTCTTATGTGTGTCAGAGCGGCTGGCGGCCAACCCAGATCTACCTGGGTGCGAAGTCGCAGCGGCGCTGAAAGTTGTCGGACGTCGTGTTCACTAGACGTCGCAAGCATGGGACGTCGTGAACTCTTTGGACGTCGTGAGCATTAGACGTTGTGAACGGTGGACGTTGTGAGCATTAGACGTCGTGAGCGGCGGACGTCGTGAACGTTGTAAAACGTCGTGGTGTAGTGACCGTATCTGGTAGGATACCGGGCGTCACATCGGTGTAAGCTGCACACTCGTGCGGCGCAGCCGGGAGCGTGGCACGTGCCGACACGTGCAGTGGCAGCGGCCGGAGCCGCGCGTGGCGGTGACACGTGGTGCGTGCACGTGACTGGTGACGCGGCAGCGGACGGACTGCAGTAGCGGCCGCCCGCCCTGGGACGCTCTCTCAGCACGGCAGTAGCTCTTCGTGACCTTGTGCATTAGCCCGGTGAGGCGGCGCGGGCCGGACGCCGCGGCGCCGGCCGCCCGCCCCCGCTGAGCTGTCTGTGTGTCCAGATGGCGGTAATACATTCTGTTGACCACGTCTCGTTCTGCTGCAGGGACCTGGCCGACGACAGCGCGTGCCCATGTCATCATGCGCGCATTACGAACATTAGGTGTTTTGTCTGCGCATGCTCCACACGTGACATACATGCATGTTGCTGCATGACTAGGGAGCATTACATGCATCATGCACAGACGTCATACCTCTTCACAAGGGGCGCGCGCATACTTGGATGGGAGACTGAATTACAATAATACAAGCCGTGCTGCCTCGCCCTCTTTTTCACTCGTTTGGAAAAGGAAACGCAAGTGTCAGAACCGAAATAACATCCCGCTACTAGTCAACACCAACTCATGCATGCGAACGCCTGACACGCAACAATGATCTTTTCAATTCAAGCAATGCAAGTTATTATAATAACTACAATATATCAACGAGATGACATCAAATAGCTTACTTGCATCATAGTCACCGTGCTTGCGTCGATGTGATATCAAATTCAAGACGTGTAAGCTAGAGTGATCTGCGTCGCGGCGTGATTAACCCGGCAGGCGGTGGGCCTACCAGCCACCTTCCGCGCGGTGGGGGGGGGGGCACTTTTTTGCCCCCCCCCCCCCGTATCTCCGAAACTACTGGACGGATCCGGAAAATTCAAACGGCGTTCGATAGCCCTGTCAAATTTGTCGAGGGAAACCAAATTTCATTGACCTCGGGGTCACCGATGACGTCACAGGTCAGGTCAAAGATAAAATGTTTCACCGTTCACGGGGCTTCTAGGGAAAGCGCTATAACACCGAGTAAAACGCATTTTGTCGAAAATCAGCGATAAGGCGTCAGTTGTCTAGTACATATGTTGCTATTAGAGGTCACTGGTCATACCAGGTCAGGTCACAGGTCAGGTCACCAAAGGTCACCAAGGGTCACCACATGAGCCCAACTTTACTAAGGTTGTGTGATGCATGTTTTATGGCCAATTTTTCATTTCCAACTCAATGGTGTTGGTTATAAGACCATCAGGTACGGTTTAGGTCACTTTCTGGTGGAGGTCAGGTCAAGGTCAGGTCAAAAAAGGTCAAATTTCAAAGTTGATATTTTTGCATAAAATGGGTATCGATTCGATGCAGCTCGTCACGGGGAGTCTAATGGTGGTCTTTGTTTTGCGCTACGAGGTCTAGAATTGCTAAAAAATGAGTTTGAAAATTTGACGTCATCAATTTTGAACAGTTTTTTCGCTATAACTTGGCCAAAAAAAGAGGTATCGATCTCAAATTTGGTATGTAGATAGAAGGCGGTAGGGGCTATCACATATGTTCCGATTTTTTCGAAATTCAAAAAACTTTTTGGATTTTTAGGCTATCATATTCAAAAAATCTATTTTTTATTTTTGGGGGTCAAAATCCAAAAAATTCGAAAAACCGAAATAGCAGTTTTGTAGCCCATTTAATTCCACACCTTTTATGTCTGAAACATTTTTCTGTATCTCTAAAGCTGTAGGCCTGACAGCTCTTCCCGCGAAACCTTTTTTTGGGTCGAAAATGGCAAAAATGACGTCACTCTGACGTCATTAGCGGCCAACCTATCATAGCCTTTGGAAAATTTTTGGTTACCATGTGCGCTAGCTGCTCCCGGGAGGGTACTGAAAGTTTGGTGACGATCGGCGCAGCGGTTCTCGAGATATATCGAAAAAACTAAAGGGGGGGGGGCAAAAAAATGCCCCCCCCACCGCCTGGAAGGTTAAGAGGGGTTAGGATGGGAAGCCCAGGGGTTATGGGTACCGTAAATCGACACCTTTTTTTAAACCCCACAAATTTGTTCTCCCGTGAAGTTCAGACAAGTTGTTTAGAAACCTTCAAAAAAGGTACAGTCACTCGATTTTTCTCAAGTTTGTCTGTCTTGGCAGATCAAGCAATGCCAGAGCAAGCTTACGAACACACAAATTTGATCAGGATCGGACGGTTGGACACTTCTACTAAAGAGATCTTTCGTGCTTCCCGGAAATTCACCGGAGAACAGATGTGGGGTTTAAAAAAAGGTGTCGAAATAGAGAATGACTATAATGATCTTCCGTTGGGTTTACGATTGGCCAGGTTTTCCAGCAATCGGCCCAGTCGTTTCAGTTTGGCGTTAGTCATGATGATCGAGCAACTATTGCACCCTTGATTTGGCACGTACCGCGGATCTCAACTAGTCCCCAGATGCCTAAAGAAATGGTCTAATTATGACGCAAAAGCGTTAGAGATCGATCATACTGACTTATCACACCACACGGAAGATTCGCATCGCCGAGATATAGGTTTCAAAACGGATATTGGCTGCCCACATCCCTTATGGGAAATATTTTGCCTTTGAAATATATTGCCTCTTAAAATTTCAAATCCAAAGCAGCTGAAAACTAAGTAGCGTCATCCATATTTGCATCCTGTATTGAGCCTTTTAGCTGAACAGTCAAGCGACATTTACAATATGCATGGTGTAGAAAGCCCGCATACTGGCTCGAACCAGTATATTATACACTGTTTCAACCACACAGCGTTTGATTATTCGGTAGATAGCTTAGTTAGGTGTACTCTCACTGTCTTAGAACACAAATCACTCTGGAACACAAACAGCATTTTGCACTGAAGAACACAGTACTGTTCACAGCAGCATAAGGTAAACCGTGTTAACAAGCAGTAGCGCCAGACCCAACAAGCAAAAATAATACTGAAAGAGAAAACGCCACACGCCTTATATCTACCCTTCGTATACAACCCCGTCACAGATGCCATGAACATTACATGTGTACAAATCGGAAGGAAGCGCAGTGACTCCACATAAAAATCACTCATTCAAACTAGCATAAGCAAATAATCTACTTACAAAACTCAAGATAACTGAACGCTTCTTCACAACTTAACAATGCCTCCGCCCAATACCGGCGCATTACCTATATAGCCCATTCTACTTCTTTGTAATTGAAAGGTGCTTTCTGGCCCCCGGCTTACATATAAACACTTCTATAACAGCTGTTCACCATATCCTTCGAATTGCTTCCCCGCATTGGACCGCACTGGCCACGGCATTCATTCGTTATAAGTTCTTTGCACACGTTTGTCCATCAAACACCTATTGGGCACTCGTTCTGGTGTCGGTGACCATTGACCAGCACTCTACCCTGTTCAACGCCCCTCCCGGAGCAGTGCACATACACACAAACCGGACGGTTGGGGCACCGCTGCGTCGAAATCGGCACGGGAGCCAGGACAGTCTCCGAGTCTGCGTTGATATCGGGCGTGTCTCGCCATCAGCCGACGTAGATACTCACTGCACAGAACAGAAGCTGGGCCGTGCAGACATACGCGCTGGGACGGTAGAGCAAAGATCGCCGGGGGTCACCAAAGGACGGACCGATCGGACAGCCACCTTGACGGACAGACGGCGATGTCAGACGGGTGCCCCGGTCGGCCGCTGGTCGCCGGTGACGGATGCCCCGGTCGGCCTCTGGTCGCCGGTGACCGGAGAGTCCGGCACAGGCTCCGGCTCGTCACCTCGTTCCTCCCTCGGGGAGACGCTGTGACCCAGCATCGGCCGCACGTGCACCTGTGACGGTATATTCGTAGAGCCACAGTCAGTATCGGTCACTGAATAAAGTGAAGAGTGAACAAACCGGGGAGAATACGAAACAGACGACCCTGACTTGAGATAGCTACCTCCTCTCACATAACACAGCAGCTCTGCAGTGTTGAGGAGACTTAACATTGTCAAATAGAGTCGGACATAGGGAGCGGCATGAAAGTACACTTGGGGATTATCCAGCAAAAGGGAACACGATGTTAAGTCTGAGTAAACAAGCTGTGGGAAAGGCCAGCATGCAAATGTTGTGATAAAATAAGACAATCTTACGGAACCTCACACAAACCACATGATCAAGCTCCAACACAGCTCACTCGCCTGTATGAACATATCCGTCTCGTCGGGCCGCGTCAAGAACGGAAAGTTGCCGCCCGTCTTAAGGTGCGCCACACGCGCGTGGGGGTAGCAGCGCTCGGCCTCTGCGCGGGCCTGCTCGGTGAGCGCCGTGGCATCCAGGGCCTGCAGTAGTGTGACCGGGAGGTGTCGCAGCTTGTCCACGGCCACCCGACAGCCGGTGCTGCTGAGCGTGAGACGCGACGCCAGCTCCGCCTGGCTCAGCTGGGAAAGCTGCCGGGGATGGAGGGACGGTTATATTCAGATAAGGGACGCCAGCTGCGCCTGACTCAGCTGGGATAACTGCCGGGGATAAAGGGCAATCAAACACATAGCTTCCAGACACCAGACAAAACGCCAGTTCCACCTGACTGGGACAACTGCCAAGGAAGGGAGACCGTTGGCGGTTATACAAATAAAAATGAAATAACACATGATGACATTTCATGCATAGGGTCAAGTCGTATAAGAGTGAGCACTTAGTAGATTTCTTGCTCTCATTCGTTTAATTTTTGAAAGAAAGAAATCGCAAATATGGAATACTTAAGTCCATTGAATTAGCCATCAACCCATGAGGCAACGATCCTTCAGCATAAATGTAAATGGTCTAAAAGTGACATTTTCTGAACCGCTGCTGTTGCGTACTCTTACCACATGGGGTGAGCAAGAGTGCGTACACCATGCGGGTGGAGTACCTACTTCAGTGAGGTCGAGAGGTACGATCCCTTTACTCCACTTCATGTCACCAAAAGTAAACAATAGCACATACCTCAAAACCGATGCCTCACATCACATTTGACCGTCTCACCGATGCTGTGCCCGATTACGATACACGCGGCACCTACCTGGTCGACCATGAAGTCGAACGAGTTGGCGATGTCTGGACGGACACAGTCGTGACTCGGGAAGCCCTGCAGGATCATGTTCTTCAGCACCAGACCTGGCACCAGCCAGTAGCTGCGGAGCCACAGACACCAGTCATTGATGGACGGATTATTTATCTATCGCGGCTTGGATTACACGTGACAGCCATCAATTTCGGGCACGATAGAGCTGCCGAAACTGCACAGACGTATCGTATTTCTGATGAGGCATCTTCAGAGATATTTCACTAGGGTACATTTCGAAATATAAAACCATCCATGCTTTTATCGGGCAACACAGAATGTAAATCGTAATAGAGTGTTGAGCATTCCACCAGCCGACCAGCAATAAAAATTTAGCGAAACAAGTAAAACGATATATTCTCTCCAACTAGCAATAAAATCCAATGACACGTACAAGCACCACAAACCGCAATCGACGAGTCTATCCGTCATTGAAAGAGTCGCTTATCCAGATACAAATTATCAACCACAGCTCACATCCCAGGAATGTCCCCGAGCCCGTTTTCCACTCACAAGGGCGACACCGCAGTCTTCTTGTAGATGCGCGTGTCCACAAACGCCTGGCAGAGCAGGAGCGAGGCCACGCGTGGCGACTGGCGCGTCGCCTCGGCAAATTTTTGCGCCAGGAAAGCGCCCAGGAAGGAGCCGAACAAGTGCACCTTATCCAGCCGCAGCTCGTCCAGTAGGCGACGGAAGCCCTCGCAGAACTCCTGAACTGACCAGTAAACTGGATACGAGACCTGTCGCACGGAGAAATAGAGGTTCAGAATTCAGTACACCAGGGTATAGGTAACACTTGTAACACAGACAAAGACGTGCGACACATAACTCGAGTGTTGCAGCTAAGATGGAATGAATTTCAGACCGACATTCCCGTGTCGGCCTGCCTGTCCCTCCTAAACCGTCTCTGTTCTTCACTGCGCTTCTCAGAAACCGTCAGTTATCCCCATTCCCGACGGTTTTCCGGCCCCATTATCCCCATCCCGACGGCTTCCCGTCCCCATTATCCGCGTCCCGACGGCTTCCCGTCCCCATTATCCCCATTCCCGACAGTTTCCCTATTCCGCTCTTTCCGACGGTTCTCCATCGCCGTCGGCCACTCACCGAGAGCACGCGATACCCGCGGCTGGACAGACTCAGCAGCTGGCGGAAGAACACGTCGGCAGTTCCACTCAGCGGCGGCAGGAACACGATGGGACAGGAGACCGAGCGCGGACCGACGTCGTACAGGCGCCACACCTGTACTCACGGATACACACAGACACGAGAAGCTGTGTGTGAACCACTACTGCACACACAGGCACAGATAAAAATGGAGTACTGTGAGGTCCACAGTCCACATCACATGCAGCATGGCAGCACTTTGATGTTCTGTGGGTCAGACTAGAGCAGAAAGCTGCAGCTGGATTTCAACAGTGTGTATCAAATCAGTGCATTTGAAGAGTTGTCAAAAGGTTCAGAGCCATTTCAAACCAAAAAGATTTCATCAGCCTCAATGCAATCAAGTAAAAACTAATACATACCTTAATTGACTGACATTTTTCTAAACAAAGGAATTGCAAACAATTAGCATGGGTATACCCAATGATGAGATCAGAGATGTTGCATTAGATATGTAATGAACACATACCTTTGTATCATCGTGGTCAACTATCACACTTTTCAGTGCCACAGTGCTTCTGAATGCTAGATATTCTTCACTCTTGGATATGTTGCTCTGCATTTTGACCAATTCTTATTTGATTTAGCCACAGCTACCAAGCTTCAAGTATCTTGTCTCTAAGGTTTCAGAGTGAAAACTATATAGACAATTATTACATGTTCAGGCACTCTGAAAAAGTATTAGTAAATGGTTACAAGACACATCATTCCAAGCCTGAAATGGATATCCTATCATCATTAGAAATTAAAAAAGCAAGTTAATCCACTATCCAGAAATTTGCAGTGAATGTGCCAAATGCCAACCTCATGAAATTTTGCTGACAATTGTTGTAGAATGCAGATGATAACAATTTGAAAAAAAAAATGTCCACAAAAGACATGGGTTCTGGTTTGACATTGCTCACTTTCAATCATGCATCAGTCACACATTTTTGGATCAAGACATCACCATTTAGCACAAAATACAGGCTCAGCTCAGCACACACCCCAACCAGGGTAACCATCTCATCTGCAGCTTCAACTCGATCCATGGCTGCTGTGGATCGGGAGTCCGGAATCTGGACTCTAGGCCCGAAGTCCATCTCCAAATAAACTCCAGCTAAATTGCTAACAGTTGTGGCATTTCATGGATATTGCTAGCATAGGGAATCATACAAATTGCATAGTAAAATCTATCTATAGGAATCTTGGTAATATCTATAACTAAGCTTTTAAGCTGTAATCCAGATCAAACATTGACATTTCACTGAACTCAAACTTGGAATAGGTGAGACGAGAAGACTACTTATGAAAAATTGTGAAAAACCAATCCCTCATTATTGATGATGAGCATAATGTCCAGAATACATTGACAAGTGACATGAAATTACGGATCAATATAGCATTATGTAACACTTAAAGGCAGAGAATATCATGAAAAATAAGCTGTAGATTTATATATCATTCACCCACTCAGTATTCTTATTTGCTATGCAGGGCTGCGGAGTCGATGGATTTTCGGCGACTCCGACTCCGACTCCGACTCCGGCTTTCAAAAACCAGCTCCGACTCCGACTCCGGGCAGAATTGTCGACTCCGACCGACTCCAACTCCCGACTCCGACTCCGCAGACCTAGCAGGGCTGCGGAGTCGACAGATTTTCGGTGACTCCGACTCCGACTCCGGCTCGGGTTTCTAAAATCGACTCCGACTCCGACTCCGGTCACAACTGTCGACTCCGACCGACTCCGACTCCGACTCCGCAGCCCTGTTGCTATGTGACATTGAATGTGCTACCCATATAAAATTACACCTAATACGCAAATAGCCAGAAAAATAGAAAAGCCAACCTGAACCGAAAAGGACCATTCGTAGTTACATCCTGATTCGTACAGCCTTTGATATAGCCTTGGTACCACGCACCCACCACGCAACAACGCTGACGCCATTATCCGTTATCCGAGAGTATCACGACTACCTGACGAATACCACTACAAGTATCACCAATGTCACCGAACATATAGGGCCTTGCCGAATATCACAAGAGAATGTATCACTATCGGGGGTATCGGGGGTATCGGGCCTTGGGTATCGGGCGGTATCGGGGCGGGGTATCAAGAGAAAAGCCATGTTCACATGAGAAGCATAGAAAATCTGTAGTGTATTTTCAAAAATGCACTACCGTTGAAATGCATTTTTGGAAGAAATGCAATGCAATTCTAGCATATCAGTGATATTAGAGAGTGAATTTGATGGATTGGCTGCTTTTTGAATGACTATCTTAAATAAAAATTTCCATGAATTTTTGTTTTCCCAATTCATTTCACCCAAAACCCTACAGAAATCGGAAATCGAAACCCCTACGGCTACCATATGGACAACGGAGTCCTGTACGCTAGCGACATCTATGAGATGCCACGACTGTCAGCGATTCGGCTGGGAGTTGATTTGGAGGTGGAGTTCGAGTCCGACTTGAGTGCGGACTCCCCGGATCCGGTGGACTGGAGGCTGGAGCCGAGAATCGTGCGGATCGAGTTGAAGTGGGAGTCGAGGCAGTTGCCGGTTGGGGTGTGAGCTGAGCCTGTGGTGTCGCCTGTGTTTTGTGCTAAACGGCGCCGTCTCAGTCTCAATCCAATGTGTGACTGAAGCATGAAAAGTGAGCTGTGTCGAGCTAGAACCATACCATAGTCTGTTTTGTTGACGGTGAAAGCTGTGGACGCTGCTGAAGACTTGGACTGAACGGAGTCTAAACATGTTAAAAAATGGCAATTAAATGGCTCATTAGTTGTTCCATTAAATGCATTTGTCTGTTTATATACTAGTATACTTGTGGACTATTGAAGCTTCGGAACAGATATCATTTTTGCATAAAAAATGTCTTCAAAGGAGGTTTACTGTGTGGTGAGTACCATCTTTATTGTCTTCAGATACCCATAAAAATACTGGATACCTGTTTCATACTGTAGTTATAATGTGTTTCATGGTTACATATGCCTTTAACCCACCCTGAGAACTGGTTCTGGAGAACTGGAACTGAGAACTGGAGTGCTGGTTCATAATGTGACAAGTTCATTGAACTGGAACCCCTCACTTCTCATGGCCAACCCATCTGCATCTTTGTTCAGCATGTCAATATCCATGCTGACTCTAACCCCTCTAACCCCAGGTGAGACTGAGAGAGTGGCTGGGGAGCCTCAGACTGTCTTGATGTGATGTTATTTAGTTAGTTGTTCAGCTGTGCACTGTAACAATCACTATGAAAGGAGTTTTGAAGTGCTTCATTGTAGGTCTTGGTGATTCATGATTATTGATTATGTGCTCCACTCCAACTCTGAGCTCAGTCCATGCTGTTCTCTGTGGTATGTGCTGTTGTGCCACCAGTTTCATGCTTCTGTCATGCCTATTCTGTATTTTTGAAACATTGCAAGGTATTTTTACTAGCATAGGTGTGTGCATTATTAATTATATTTATCATAGTGTAACAACTAACAATGCTAAACTAGTCCTAGATTTGCCCTAGATCATGCTATTGGGTTTTGACTGCTCAGTTGCTGCCCAAATCAATCATTTCTGCCTATCCTCTTCAATCTTCATTCATTTGGTTCTGACCAAAAGAGAAACATTTCAATTTTGAATGCAAATGGAAAATTGTTAGTCTCTTTTTCACTCTAATCCTTAATCAGATTAAGATTAGGGCGTTGGATTAAAATGAATTTGTCAGGATGTCTGACCTTGTATTAAACTTGCCTTGCTAATGGCCAGTCATGTTGATGCAGTGCATTTTAGCTTGCTGGCTGCTGCCATGCTTACTGATACTAACCACTTGCACTCTGAATGTGCTTCCTGCAACAAGACACTGGACACTGGTAATCCACTCAAAGAACACTCTCTCGAAAACTAGTCTGAGCACCACACTACCAATACCGTTCAGACACCAGCGCTCCCGTCTCGCTCTATTCCGCCACGGCCACCACTGTGGAGTCTGTCGAGCGGAGGACGCCGTGCCGTCCCTCAGCTGGCCGCGTTTGTTTACCGGCCGTGCGGGGTCGACCTCGGCTCGTCACGGGAGACACGAGGTCCGCCACTGCAGGACCGATCTGCAGAGACCAGGGGCGGTCTCAGTAGACCCGTCTTCGTTCTCAGTCTCCCGGTGCAGAAGTGGAAATTGACGGAATTTCGGCGAGATAACCGATGTTTCATGTGTGTGGCTTGCTTGGGTGTTCTATCCAAGACTTCGACACGTCCATACGGTGCAGATCTTTGGTCAGTAGCTTAGCGCAATTGTACCGATAGCTGGCGGTGCTGATGTCATATCATCAGTTAACGGTAGACTGGACGTCTGCTCGGCCCATTTAAACACATCCAGTTGACGCCTTGAGAGAGTGGAGGCTGGCCGGTGCGGTCCCAGTCATGTCGGGTCATCTCGGTCCCTGCCGTGGTGGGCTGGGGGAGCGGCTGAAACCGGCGATGGGCCGCCGCGGACCCCGGTTTGGGCCCAAAACTCCCGGTCGGGTCGGTGAGGTGCCCTCGGTCCGACGAGTGGTCAGCCGGTACAACCGTCCCGCACAGCCCTGCATAGGTGTCGATTTGTATACTTTTGGGGGTGCCCGGGCACCCCCAATGCTGAGTTGGGCACCCCCCAAGGTGCTCTGGGCACCCCCAACCAAAGTTGGTACTGGCATCACTATCACGGTTCTTTGAGCGCATTATTTTTATTTTTTAATTACCTACCGTACATAAGAATGCGTTGTAAAAAAATGACGCGATTTTTTTTTTTTGCTTTGTTTATACCAGAGTCAAGACAGCAGCATTTGGTAGCCATCGTCGCATTCGTACCGCGTCAATGGGGCGGTGTTTCACGGCCGGTAGTAGCGTGCTGAAAGCACACGTGTCAAATTGGGTTTCCATGGAGACGTTGACAAACTCGGACCCTCCAACATAATAGACCCCGCGTTCGATGTCTCTCGGACGACGAAGATTCTATGTCGTCCGGCCAATCCCGTTCAAGGTCAGCGGGGGCTCGGCTGCAGTTGTGGAACGTGATTGGCCGGACGGCGTAGAATCTTCGTCGTCAGAGAGACATCGAACGCGGGGAGAGTTTTCGGTTCCGGACGTCCTTGAGTTTTGTTTTGAGTGGCGGGGCTTGGGCGGGGCAGTCTTTTGGTCCGAAAGGCGACAGATCATGGTTTAATCTGGGATTCTGCCTCTGGTGAGAAAGAACTTAAGAAGCATGGACATCAGAAGGTTTTTTACCAAAAGAGTAAGTCATTGGTGTGATATACGACTGCATGATTATTGCTTAGGATTGCATACGATGGCATGATAGGTATTGCCGCTGGCTCTTCTTCCGTTGTTTTATAGTCTAAGAGGCTCTTCTATTTATACTAACCAGAAGAGGCCCCTAGGACTGATGGTCTAACAGGCCCTTTTATTTATACTAGCCAGAGAAGGCCCATGATACTGATTGTCTGAGAGGCCCTTCTATTCAAACTAGGCAGATGAGGCCCCTGAGAATGATAGTCCGAAGAGCCATGCGGCGGCAACTGGCCGTGGCCATTTTTCGGCTCGGTAGGGCCCCACAGAGCTCATGAGAGCACCTCAAGGGCTCCTAAGTAGACACGCTTATCCCCATAAGGGTGCCACGCCGGCTTCTGAAGGCTCCTTGTAGGCATCTAAAGGGCCCTTTCCGGCCTCTAACGACTCCACCCGCCTGTGATGGCTCCACACCAGTGTTAATGAGCGCCACACAGCGGCGCCTTTGAGGGTCATACTAGTGTCTCTTAGGGCCCTATATCGGTGGCTCTGGGGGCCCCACACCGGCGCCTCTGTGGGCCACCACACCTGTGTATCTCAAGGCTCTATAGGTATATCTGAAGGACCCACACCGACACCTCTGAGGGTCCCACACCAGTATCTCGGAGCTCTGAAGGCCCCACACCGGTGACTCTGAGGACTCACCGGCTCCTGAGAGCACCATGTTGATGTCTAACGGCTCCACAAGGCCACTGAAGGCACCACACAAGCTCTCACTGAGCTCTAATGTCCATGTACCGGCCTCTGAGGGATTTAAGCCAGCGCATTCATAGCTCCACACCAGCAATTGTAAGGGCTTCACACTGAAGTATCTGAGGGTTCCACACCGGTGTCTCTAAGGGCCACATACCGGCATCTCTGAGGGCCCCATACCGGCGTCTCCGAGGGCCTACATCTGGCGGGCACCCATCAGCGACTGAAGGTCCCACACTGTCGACTCCGAGAGCCCCATCTGCGTCTGGGAGCAACATGCCGTCTCTAAGAACCACAGCGGCCCCTCCGTACGAAAGATGGGCGTCTGCATGCCAAATGGGAGCGGTTCTGAGACAGTAGGGCACCTACGTGCAATAGAGGGGCGCCTATGAAGCCCATAGGGGCGCCTCAATGCGAAAGAGGGGTGCCTCTGAGGCCTACATATATGGGCGTCCACGTGCAATAGAGGTCTGCGACTGCAATTGATCAATGCCATGGGGGTGCATTCATAAGAAACAGGGGCGCCGGCATGGCAAAGAGAGGCCGGGCGCCTTCAAGTGTCCATAAAAGAGAGACCCCTATGATAAGCGCACATTGTATGCGACAACGGGGCGACTGTGGGACATAGGGATGTCTCTGATGACTATACATAGGGCGCTTATATGCCAAAGAGGGCGCCTATGAAGCTAATGGGGGCACCTGGGAAACGAGAAAGACATTTGCGTAAGGGTTTTCAGGGGTCATGCGCCGTTTGCGGCAAATAGATTCTAAAAAAATCGGAGGGGGAATAAGTTTTAAAAATGGCGCGGACTTTCCGCACTGTTCGCTTAAGCGGTTACGCCCCTAGGTACATCTGCCCGATCTCAGAAGCTATATTTGGAGGTCATACTTGAAAGCAGCCAGCAGGACGAGGCAAAAGTTAGAGGCCCCCTGGAAAAGGAGGCCCCTTGACAGGGTGGCCCACCCACTTTTCATGACGTTCCTACGCCCGTGCCGGGGGGGGCAGTGGGGGCAGCCTCCCCCCAACTCTGGGGCCGTGGGGGTGGTGCCCCTACAGCTTTTAGACGGAATACCACACTTTTTTTGCAAATGTTTTCTTTTTTGTTGAAAAAGCCAAGGGATGAAAAATAAGTGGCCTAAAATCGGTGAGAAAACTAGATTTGGGGGTACCCTAGGTTGATCTTTATCTGAAAGTAGTTCCCGCGCCCCTGCTCTGGGCACCCCCAACCATTTTCACAAATCGACACCCTTGCAGCCCTGGCAGCTGCGGCAGGTGGGTGTGGAACTGTGGAGGTCGGGACTACCTTCTGAGAGCTCGGGCCATGACCGGCGTGCCGCTGAACTGGCCGCCAGGACCACCAGGACGTGGCTTATCGGTTTTAAAATACGCATCGGCGGGGCTCGCCGAATGCCCCCTTCCAAACGAGGTGGTGCTAGATCAACATTCACCGGCCGGCGCTGGGTCCTACCGTTTGGGTTGTTCACTTTTTGGTGCATGTTAGACTCGCGTGGTATTCTGGGGCGCCGTGAGGGGTGTCGGGCTCTGGATGGGTCTCTGGGATCATCTGTTGCGCCACTTGCGTTGGTCGACTGTTCCGCTCCAGCACATTAATCGATGGCGCTGATGTGCGTGATGTGGATGCGCGTGTCGCTATTTTTGTCACTGCTCAAATACTTACATAATGCATAGTACCTATTTATTACATTGACACAACGTATGCTTGAGAGAATAACGTTTTGAGGCAAACTGCGGTTTATTGCCATGTTCAATACTGATGTGGGAGCTCTAAGTCTACAATCATGTTTGAGTGAGAGATTGCTTACCATAAGTTATTAGCTGATGACATGGGAGGTTTCTATAGATACATTTTCTCACATTTATCTAGGTACTCACT